GGCTACATTTTAGTAAAAAGAAAAAGTTTTCATCTCTCTTAGGTCAGGAGCTATTGATATTGTACGAAAAAGAGATAAATCGCTTATATCTCACGAACTATCTAGTAAAAGTGGTCCAAACTTGGTGTGTGATCAGCATTCGATAAGAGCTATGCCCACACAAAATTAGAAGTCTCTAGCTATCATGGTTCTTGAGTTACAGGGGGGTCGGTACTTTTGACGAGTACTGTATTTTAAATTGCCCTCTAGAAAACGGTAAAAAAAGCGAGTGACAGAACCTTTCTCCCCATTAACAACAGAAAAGAACGAATGTTTTTTATACTTTTCAAAATATTTTTGGTTGTTTCTATAAATGTGACTCACAAAGAAGAAGAAAAGGAGGAATGAAAGCGAAAAAGAAACAGTCTGTGTGCTCTCTCTGTTTGAAATTTTATACTTTTAACCCTTTTATCGTGTTTCATTTCTATCACTTTATTTGTCTGCATTTTATATCAGCTATTTCTTTATATCACCACTCATTGCTGCGCTCATAATTCGAATAAAGGTAAGAATTATGTCAACAGATTTAAAGTATCAGTGTGACCTTATTTTCTAAAGATGCCCATGCTTTACTATCATAACATGTTGTTTTTCTTGCATGTTCTATAGATCTTCAACTATTCCACGCACACAGACAGGAATATGTCCCAAGTAAGTGCTCCGAATCTTCAAGTGATTGCAACTGACCGTGTCGCACTTGTTACTGGCGCAGCTAGAGGTATTGGTCGTGCCATTGCACTACGTCTAGCTGCTGATGGCTTTCATGTAGCTTTGAATGATCTCTCAAAAATGTCAAATGAACTTGAAAAAGTCAAATCGGAAATTGAATCAGGTTTTAGTAATATTAGGTCTTGTATTATTTTCGCTGATGTTTCAAAACAAAATGAAGTATGTGAAATGGTTAATAAAACAGTTCAAGAACTTGGACGACTTGATGTTATGGTTGCTAATGCTGGTATACAATGTACAAGTCCATTTTTGGAAGCAACAGAAGAAGATTTTGATCGAATTCTGAATGTCAACGCTAAAAGTGTTTTCTTTTGCTATCAAGAAGCTGCCAAACAGGTAATTTTTTTGTTTCTTCTTCTTTGAAAGAATTCCGATACTGACGAACCTGACTTTCATTCAGCCGAAGCTTGGAGAGCAATGGTGTCTAAAAACTCATGAGATCTTATTCATTATTTAAATAGATGATCAAACAAGGTCATGGTGGAAAATTAATTGGAGCATCTAGTCTCAGTGCACATCGACCTTTCAAGCTCGGTTCATTATATGCGATATCAAAATGGGCTGTTCGAGGGATGACACAAGCAGCTGCGTTAGAACTAGCAAAACATAAGATTAATGTCAATTGTTATTGTCCCGGGGCGATTGATACAGACATGTTTCATGACGGTAGTCAGGCAATTGCTGAACAAACAGGTGTAAAACAAGATGATATACAACGTAGAATTGTACATCAGTGGACAGCTATGGAACGGATGGGACAACCTGATGATGTTGCTCAATGTATTAGTTTCTTGGCAAGCCAAAATTCTAATTTTGTTACTGGACAAAGTCTACTCATTGATGGTGGAATACATTATACTTAGACAATAAACAAGAAAAACATTACAAATTCAGAAACATCCAAGAATCTGTACAGAAAAGCACCGTTATACATGTTGGGTTTTTTGATTATTGTGCAATAAATAGATGTTTGATTCTGTGAACTTTTTTAAAAACTTATAGTAACTTGAAATAAATTATTGCTATACAGAGAAAATCGACTTTTTATACGGAATTTTTTATAAGTCGTCTTTAATTGCATTAGAATCAGCATGGTCTAAAACGGTGGGCAGCAAAGTTTCATCTGTTTAAAGTGCGCAAGAAAAAAGTCAGTCGACGGACAAAACAGAAATAGTTAGAACACGGTGTAACTGGCAACAAACGTATAAATTTAAAGTTGATGAGAAACTAGGTCCTGATCCGTGTTATGAAAAACGAAAGGAATTTTGGGCATATTATACATGTTTGTAGAGTGTGTCTAAAGATACTTAGAAAAAGACTTTCTTTTCATTACTTAGTCTAATGTTAGCTTAGAAAGTTTCCGTTATGACATGCAACTCCCCTCAAATGCTGCCTTCTCTCCCTATGAGAAATAAAAGAAGACACAAGTGTGTGGAAAAGGCCACAGGGCAAGAATTCCTGAGCACCACTCGTAGACTCTGGTGCATCGCTTCATCAAGAGAATAAATGCGCTGCACGGCTCGGCAACATCCCCGATGAAAAAGCATGAGCAGTTAACGGCTGATCTAAAGTCATGCTAGACACGGCCTGCTTAAAGGCATTTGACAGAATAAAAACGACGGGAAAAGACTCCGTCTCAAAAGAATTCTCAGTTGAAATTAGCTCAGTGGTAAGAGTGACAGACTGCTATTCTGCAGGCTCAATCCTTATACTTTCAACTTAGTTTTCATTTTCTTTATTTCTTTTTGCATATCTGACGTTGTGCAATTCTTTTGTCTATTTGAAATTGGCTTACTTGTACTATTATCAAGATAGAATTAAATAATGAAATTTGCGATTTCTTTGCGGATGAATTATCAAATGTGCTCAGTGATAACGAATTTGACTATTCCAGCGACAAACTCGATATTGAAATTGGTGAAAACATTAGTGATAATGAAGATGAAATCGGTGTTCATAGAAAAATAAAAAAACGGTTACGTATTTGTACTAGTTCGGAAAGCTTCCACGATAGTGAAGTTGAAGTAGATTCCTTGTGGCCTAAACGTGATAAATTACCCACCTTGGAGCATTTTGAAGGAAACCCACGACTAAAAAGGGCTGCAAATAATATTGAGAGTATAGAAAAAAATTAGCTCGGAATTCATGCTTGCTTCGTACAAAATATACCCGTCCCTTAAGTGTTAAAATGGGCATATTTATTCTCCTGGTATATTTTTCAATCGGTGTACATATATACATTGTAATTGAAAGCACTCTGAAGCACCAAAATCGCTTTATCTTTAATTACCATTAAAAAATTGACACACATTGAAAGATCATTTAGTTGTATGTTTACTGACGAGGGAACCTCACGAGGTGATTAAAAGCTTTTCGACTCAGACTATTTTCATCATGTAGGGAATAGTCAGTAGTGAAAAACCCCAAGTTGGTTTGGGCCCATGCGCCTTTTTGACGGAGATATGAGTTAATTAATGAAAATGCCATTAATAATAATTAATTCATAGCTCACGACCATGATCAGCTAAGAGTCGGAAATTTACACCACAGTTGAAAGATAGATGTTGTCTACTCACTGCGACACTTTTAGGCTTATAAACCAAAGCTTTTGGAAGATATGAATTTTTTATGATTTAGACAGTTTTTAGTGAAAATTCACCATTGAAAACCTAAAAACTTGTTATCACCTTTTAAATACCTCTGTCCACGCTGCAGAAGCTCAGCGGCTCCTAGGGACATATATCTAAATGAAATAAGTCTTTCCTGAATCGATAGAGGTATCTAAAAAGTGATAACAAGTTTTTAGGTTTTCAATGGTGAATTTTCACTAAAACCTGTCTAAATCATAAAAAATTCATATCTTCCAAAAGCTTTGGTTTATAAGCCTAAAAGTGTCGCAGTGAGTAGACAACATCTATCTTTCAACTGTGGTGTAAATTTCCGACTCTTAGCTGATCATGGTCGTGAGCTATGAATTAATTATTATTAATGGCATTTTCATTAATTAACTCATATCTCCGTCAAAAAGGCGCATGGGCCCAAACCAACTTGGGGTTTTTCACTACTGACTATTCCCTACATGATGAAAATAGTCTGAGTCGAAAAGCTTTTAATCACCTCGTGAGGTTCCCTCGTCAGTAAACATACAACTAAATGATCTTTCAATGTGTGTCAATTTTTTAATGGTAATTAAAGATAAAGCGATTTTGGTGCTTCAGAGTGCTTTCAATTACAATGTATATATGTACACCGATTGAAAAATATACCAGGAGAATAAATATGCCCATTTTAACACTTAAGGGACGGGTATATTTTGTACGAAGCAAGCATGAATTCCGAGCTAATTTTTTTCTATACTCTCAATATTATTTGCAGCCCTTTTTAGTCGTGGGTTTCCTTCAAAATGCTCCAAGGTGGGTAATTTATCACGTTTAGGCCACAAGGAATCTACTTCAACTTCACTATCGTGGAAGCTTTCCGAACTAGTACAAATACGTAACCGTTTTTTTATTTTTCTATGAACACCGATTTCATCTTCATTATCACTAATGTTTTCACCAATTTCAATATCGAGTTTGTCGCTGGAATAGTCAAATTCGTTATCACTGAGCACATTTGATAATTCATCCGCAAAGAAATCGCAAATTTCATTATTTAATTCTATCTTGATAATAGTACAAGTAAGCCAATTTCAAATAGACAAAAGAATTGCACAACGTCAGATATGCAAAAAGAAATAAAGAAAATGAAAACTAAGTTGAAAGTATAAGGATTGAGCCTGCAGAATAGCAGTCTGTCACTCTTACCACTGAGCTAATTTCAACTGAGAATTCTTTTGAGACGGAGTCTTTTCCCGTCGTTTTTATTCTGTCAAATGCCTTTAAGCAGGCCGTGTCTAGCATGACTTTAGATCAGCCGTTAACTGCTCATGCTTTTTCATCGGGGATGTTGCCGAGCCGTGCAGCGCATTTATTCTCTTGATGAAGCGATGCACCAGAGTCTACGAGTGGTGCTCAGGAATTCTTGCCCTGTGGCCTTTTCCACACACTTGTGTCTTCTTTTATTTCTCATAGGGAGAGAAGGCAGCATTTGAGGGGAGTTGCATGTCATAACGGAAACTTTCTAAGCTAACATTAGACTAAGTAATGAAAAGAAAGTCTTTTTCTAAGTATCTTTAGACACACTCTACAAACATGTATAATATGCCCAAAATTCCTTTCGTTTTTCATAACACGGATCAGGACCTAGTTTCTCATCAACTTTAAATTTATACGTTTGTTGCCAGTTACACCGTGTTCTAACTATTTCTGTTTTGTCCGTCGACTGACTTTTTTCTTGCGCACTTTAAACAGATGAAACTTTGCTGCCCACCGTTTTAGACCATGCTGATTCTAATGCAATTAAAGACGACTTATAAAAAATTCCGTATAAAAAGTCGATTTTCTCTGTATAGCAATAATTTATTTCAAGTTACTATAAGTTTTTAAAAAAGTTCACAGAATCAAACATCTATTTATTGCACAATAATCAAAAAACCCAACATGTATAACGGTGCTTTTCTGTACAGATTCTTGGATGTTTCTGAATTTGTAATGTTTTTCTTGTTTATTGTCTAAGTATAATGTATTCCACCATCAATGAGTAGACTTTGTCCAGTAACAAAATTAGAATTTTGGCTTGCCAAGAAACTAATACATTGAGCAACATCATCAGGTTGTCCCATCCGTTCCATAGCTGTCCACTGATGTACAATTCTACGTTGTATATCATCTTGTTTTACACCTGTTTGTTCAGCAATTGCCTGACTACCGTCATGAAACATGTCTGTATCAATCGCCCCGGGACAATAACAATTGACATTAATCTTATGTTTTGCTAGTTCTAACGCAGCTGCTTGTGTCATCCCTCGAACAGCCCATTTTGATATCGCATATAATGAACCGAGCTTGAAAGGTCGATGTGCACTGAGACTAGATGCTCCAATTAATTTTCCACCATGACCTTGTTTGATCATCTATTTAAATAATGAATAAGATCTCATGAGTTTTTAGACACCATTGCTCTCCAAGCTTCGGCTGAATGAAAGTCAGGTTCGTCAGTATCGGAATTCTTTCAAAGAAGAAGAAACAAAAAAATTACCTGTTTGGCAGCTTCTTGATAGCAAAAGAAAACACTTTTAGCGTTGACATTCAGAATTCGATCAAAATCTTCTTCTGTTGCTTCCAAAAATGGACTTGTACATTGTATACCAGCATTAGCAACCATAACATCAAGTCGTCCAAGTTCTTGAACTGTTTTATTAACCATTTCACATACTTCATTTTGTTTTGAAACATCAGCGAAAATAATACAAGACCTAATATTACTAAAACCTGATTCAATTTCCGATTTGACTTTTTCAAGTTCATTTGACATTTTTGAGAGATCATTCAAAGCTACATGAAAGCCATCAGCAGCTAGACGTAGTGCAATGGCACGACCAATACCTCTAGCTGCGCCAGTAACAAGTGCGACACGGTCAGTTGCAATCACTTGAAGATTCGGAGCACTTACTTGGGACATATTCCTGTCTGTGTGCGTGGAATAGTTGAAGATCTATAGAACATGCAAGAAAAACAACATGTTATGATAGTAAAGCATGGGCATCTTTAGAAAATAAGGTCACACTGATACTTTAAATCTGTTGACATAATTCTTACCTTTATTCGAATTATGAGCGCAGCAATGAGTGGTGATATAAAGAAATAGCTGATATAAAATGCAGACAAATAAAGTGATAGAAATGAAACACGATAAAAGGGTTAAAAGTATAAAATTTCAAACAGAGAGAGCACACAGACTGTTTCTTTTTCGCTTTCATTCC